GAATTTATCTAATTCTAGTGCAAATTAAGTTTTTAATTATGTTTTTTATTAGCATTAAAAAAATTATGTCTTTTATTATATAAACATTCTATTTAAATACTAGAAAAAGTGATTATAGGGAAGTGAAAGGTGTAGCCCAGGTTCGAATCCTGGGTGTCCAAAACTTTCACAAGTGTTACCAAAAAAATTACCATGTAAAAATAACCAGAAAAATTATCATGTACAAATTTACAACACTTTTTCCACAAGTGTTACCATGTACGTAGTACTTGTAATATTTATTCCTATATGCAATTAAGTGGTAGTTGAAAAATTATGTTAAGTTATACACTTACACAACGTAATTACATTAAAAATTATGTTAAGTCATAAACTTACCCAGAAATTTCATTTAGAAGAAGACTGACGATGCTAGTCAGTCCGGGGTGGTATGAACTTTCATTGCGAATAAACTTGTCGTAGAGCATTCGCCCAAGGTCTTGAAAATCTTTGTCTATTTCAATTTTGGGACCAATTGGAGCAACAATTCCAGTTAGTTTTATACGCCCTCCCCATACAACAATATTGTTTGGATCATTTAGATTTCCATGACCACCACCAAGACGTTTATGTAAACAGTTTACAGCTTCCAGTAATTCCCTGAAAAAAGTAAAGAAGTATTCAAATTTTGTAAATTGTAAATTTTACAAATTATAAAATTAAAATATAACTTAATTACCTTATTTGGTTCTTTGAAATATCAATAACATCCATGAAAGTTGTAGAATATGGATCATAGAAAAAATATGAGTAGGTGGGGGATACAAAGGAAAGTAAGGGACGCAAAATAAAAGGAAGACTGAATAATGTCTTAGAGAAGTCAAATGATTGTTTCATTGCAATTGACTTCGAAGTCACCACTTTAATCAACATGGTCTTCCCAAAAGCTTCAGTTAGGCAAAAGTGGATCTGAACTTCATGTGTGCCTCAGATAAAGCTTGATTTCTTTATCCCTATAGGTTTCTCCAAGCTCTCTGGTAATGGTGGTGGTGGTGTAGTAGACATTTTCTATGAGAAGAGAAAGTGAGCGGTTTGTTGAACAGTAACCTAAGAAAATGCTCTCATACACCCCGTGTGTGAGCAGTTGTACAGTAAAATAAAATAAGTAAACGCTGAGCAGTTGAACACTAACCCCAATAAAATAAGTAAATGCTGAACAAATGTACACCCGTGAATGCTGAACTCCATAAGTAGTATTTTTTTTGAAAGGAAACTCCATAAGTAGTTGAGAGTAGTAAATACGGAGTACTTGAAAAGTACACCGTGTGACAACAGCTTTTTGAAAATATCACGCAACCCAAAGCTGAAAGTGCTGCAGCTGCCAAACCCATTTCGGAGCTGAAATACCCATTGAAACAGAGGCTTTATTCTTATTAAAGCCCAAGTCAGATAAAATTACTTCATATTTTATTTAATTTTTCGGAGCTGAAATACCCATTGAAATGGGTTTGGCAGCAGCAGCACTTTCAGCTTTGGGTTGCGTGATATTTTCAAAAAGCTGTTGTCACACGGTGTACTTTTCAAGTACTCCGTATTTACTACTCTCAACTACTTATGGAGTTCCCTTTCAAAAAAAAACTACTTATGGAGTTCAGCATTCACGGGTGTACATTTGCTCAGCATTTACTTATTTTATTGGGATTAGTGTTCAGCTGCTCAACATTTACTTATTTTATTTTACTGTACAACTGCTCACACACGGGGTGTATGAGAGCATTTTCTTAGGTTACTGTTCAACAAACCGCTCACTTTCTCTTCTCACAGAAAATGTCTACTACACCACCACCACTACTACCAGAGAGCTTGGAGAAACCTATAGGGATAAAGAAATCAAGCTTTATCCGAGGCACACATGAAGTTCAAATCCACTTTTGCCTAACTGAAGCTTTTGGGAAGACCGTGTTGATGAAAGTGGTGACTTCGAAGTCAATTGCAATGAAACAATCATTTGACTTCTCTCAGACATTATCCAGTCTTCCTTTTATTTTGCGTCCCTACCTACTCATATTTTTTCTATGATCCATATTCTACAACTTTCATGGATGCTATTGATATTTCAAAGAACCAAATAAGGTAATTAAGTCATATTTTGATTTTATAATTTTTAAAATTTACAATTTACAAAATTTGAATACTTCTTTACCTTTTTGAGGGAATTACTGGGAGCTTTAAACTGTTTACATAAACGTCTTGGTGGTGGTCATGGAAATCTAAATAATCCAAACAATATTGTTGTATGGGGAGGGCTTATAAAACTAACTGGAATTGTTGCTCCAATTGGTCCCAAAATTGAAATAGACAAAGATTTTCAAGACCTTGGGCGAATGCTCTACGACAAGTTTATTCACAATGAAAGTTCATACCACCCCGGACTGACTAGCATCGTCAGTCTTCTTCTAAATGAAATTTCTGGGTAAGTTTACGACTTAACATAATTTTTAATGTAATTACGTTGTGTAAGTGTATAACTTAACATAATTTTTCAACTACCACTTAATTACATATAGGAATAAATATTACAAGTACTACGTACATGGTAACACTTGTGGAAAAAGTGTTGTAAATTTGTACATGATAATTTTTCTGGTTATTTTTACATGGTAATTTTTTTTGGTAACACTTGTGAAAGTTTTGTACACCCAGGATTCGAACCTGGGCTACACCTTTCACTTCCCTATAATCACTTTTTCTAGTATTTAAATAGAATGTTTATATAATAAAAGACATAATTTTTTAACGCTAATAAAAAACATAATTAAAAACATAATTTGCACTAGAATTAGATAAATTCTAATTAAAAACTTTATTAGAGAAATTAAATTAAAAATGAAATACAAATTATAATGTAAAACTTAATTTGTGATATTTAATTAAAAAATTTAAACGTAATTGAACTTATATAAAAACCATAATTTGCAATATGTAATTAAGAATATTGAATTAACTCGTAAATAGTAAATTAAATAAGTAAATTTAATTCTAGTCCCTAGCCCATCCCAACTATAAAATTTTTATATATTTTTAATGTAAAATATCATATACTTTGGTGGTAATAACTTTTTTCTAAATAAATTCCTTTCTACGGAGTAGTAAATTTTAAAAATTAATTAAAATAATAAAATTGAGATAATTAAAAAAATAAAGACCTAATTAAATTTTATAATAACAAAATCTCATGAGAGAGGGAGTATATTATATTTTACAATAAAAGCATATAATTTTTTTAAATTAGGATGGTCTGGGGACTAGAATTAAAGTTACTTATATATTTTTTACTTATTTATTTTCGAGTTATTTAAAAAAAAATAATTTTCAAATTTCAAATTATGTTTTTTATATAAGTTTAATGACATTTTAATTTTTTTAATTAAATATCACAAACTAAGTTTTTTATATTTTTTATTTTAATTTTTTTATATTTAGGTTTTAATCGGATTTCTTAAATTAAGTATTTTATTACATTTCCTTTCAAAAAAAAAGTTTTTAATTATATTTCAAATTGTTTGGGAGGCTCCCACCTTTCAGCAAATAGATTTAAACTAAAAAGTCACCAAGAACGTGTGAATGATGTTGCCTAATAGGTAAAGGAATGGGAGAAATACGCCGGTTCTCCTCCCACCCAAGTTCGAAACCTGCTGCCCATTTTCTTTTTGAATACATTAAGAGCTGCACTTGCCCTTAAAATTGAATGACACGAACATGTTTGAGTGACGTGGATAGGCTGATGTGGCAACCATTGTATTAAAAACACTAATGAAAGTGGTTAGTTAAAAAAACTACTCGTAACAGAATCCGCTTATATCAATCTGTTGATACAACCGGCTATGAGCTAGCAAACAACCGCTATTATCAAACACAGTCGTTGACATTTTTAGACCTCCACTTTTGGTGACATAATCAAAGTAAAAGTGCGACAAATGTCAATTTCATAATACTTATAATATGAAATATCGGGAATTCTAAAATCGGGGATCAAAAGTTTGTCACTCTAAAAAAATTGACCAATTTATCACTAGGGTTTCTTTTTTTTCACCAATTTGTCACTCTAAAAAATGAATGGAAGAAAATCGCATAACAATCGGGTTTCTTTTTTTTTACCAATTGACCAATATTTTATTATTTAAAATATTAATATTATTATATTATTATATTAATATATTATTATTAATATCATTAACAATGATTGTAATATAATAATTATAATAGTAATACTTATAATTAATATAATAATAAAATTAATATAATAATAAAAGTGATAAATTACGTTTGAATTTTTCTGATCTGATCTGAATGTTTCTGATTTGTTCTGATCTGAATTTTTCTAATCTGATCTGCCTTTGCACATTTATAGTGCATTTCTTACATTTCCATAATTTTAGTGTTTTTTTATAAAAGAATAATATGTTAGACACTATAATTCCGTGTTTGATCAGTGCATCGCACGGGTAAAATACTAGTTACTATAGTAGTAACTTAATCATAATAACTTACGTTCAATGTTTAAACTTAAATGACCATGATATTATATTGTAGTAATAGTAATATTTGTGTAAATAGATTTTATTTTAATAATATTGTTGAAGAAAAACTCTGGGAATTTGAAATTGAAAGTAGTGCCATAAAAAAAGAATGGGGAAATAAGATCCTAATTAATCATACTATATGTCTATATGTGCACACACTGTTTGTTCGTATGCCTAGGTCCGCCATTGTTAGTTCTAATCCTTAGACTTTTAAACCTAATTAAGATATTTTGATAAGACAATTAAAAGGTTTTAAATATGTATGCGCTTCATTTAGTAAATGGCACAAATTCATTTTGATGTACCAAAAAGTTCCATGCATGATACAAAGTTTATAAGAAAATGGTTGCTTAAATAAAAGGGTAGAGAATACGTTGTTACGCTACTAATGAATTTGAATCGTTAAGAAAAAAGTAAAAATAAAGGGTAGATACTTACTCATGTCCATCCGAAGTCTGGCGCAGTTGCCTTGAATCCATCCCTGAACAAATGCAACCAAACTAAAAAATCAACACTTGTATATAGAGTAAGTTTTTTTTTTAAATACACACATATATGTAATATATGTAGAGAGAGCAATGAACATGTCCGAATGGAAATAAATACATGAAAATAAATACACACGGGCGTAAACTAATGAGTCCCTATATGGTACACCCGGATGTACGTACATCCGGCCCAATTAATGAATTTGACTGGTAGTAGGGAACTGGATTCCTTCACAAGGAAATTAAGAACCCCGACGGGATTCGATCCCGTGACCAATAATAGCATATGCTATCTTCCAACCATCTCACCAAGTCATCTTGTTGTAATATTTAGTTCTTTTATCTTACTTATCCTATATAGTTTCATACTGTGTATTATTAATAGTAATTATAATATTAACTATTCTTTTGCCTTTTCTCATTATTACTTCATTAAAAGAGTAATTCATATTTTTGAAGTATTTATTTGATCTATGAATGATAGTATTAATTTATATAAATATATTTATAATTTTTTTTTATATAGTGTTAGGTTCCTAATAAGCGTGATGCTCATCAAAATTGTTTTAATGCTCATAATAGGTCTGATGCACATTAAAAGTTTAATAATGCTCATTTAACAGAAACAGTGATTTTCATCTCAATATATGATATTTGATGCTCAATGAATATGTTGTTATTCAAAGTAACAAACTTTGCGATTTTCATATCTAGGAACATTTTGTAAGATGTGCATGCTTATCTGGTATTGATCTTATGCTTATTTTCTAAATGTCATATCAACATATTTTCTTTAAAGTACTATTTTACATTAGGTTCACATATTGAAATTCATAGGAGTTGATTAGAAATATAATTTAATAAGTTTTTATAAAAGGAAAATTATATTTATGACATTGTAAAAATGAGCATAACATGAGTACCAAATGAACATACATAACTTACAAAGTGCACATTGATATGAAAATCGTAACATTTGTTAGTTGAACATCATGACATTTTAATTGATTTTTCAACCTCCACTATTGATACTTTTGAAATATGCATTGATATGAATTGTAAAAATGAGCATTACGTTAGTAACAAATGAGTAATAATGAACTTTTAATGAGCATCAAACCTTTTATATTGAGAATTAGGAGTCCAATATTCAGAATCATGATCTCTGCTTCATAACTTCTAATTCACTTTCTTTTTTTTGTTATTTTTTCTTTTATAAAAACTTATTACATTATCTTTATAATCAACTCCTATGAATTCCATTATGTAAATGTAATTTAGAATAGTACTTTTAAAAATGCATTGATATGACATTTACAAAATGAGCATAACATCAATACCTGATGAGCATACGTAACATACAAAATGAGTATTTATGAAATTTTTTAGTTGTTTTGTTAGTTAAACATCACAACATTTTAATTGAGCATCAAACCTTCGTTATTGAGATGAAATTCACGGTTTCTGCAGAATGAGCATTAATGAACTTTTAATGAGCATCAGACCTATTATATTGAGCATTAGAAGTCTAATATTCAAAATCGTGATCTGTGCTTCATAAAAAATGAGCATAATATCAGTATCGATTGAGCATATGTAGCTTACAAAATAAGCATTAATATGTTGAGCATACGGACATTTTTCATTGAGCATTAAACCTCCTCTACTGAGTATTAAAAGCGTGCAATTGAGTACCGATTGAGCATCAAGACGTTTTTATTGAGTTCAAATCGCCTGTTAATGAGCATCAGATGTATTCTATTGAGCATTAAGAGTCGAATAATGAGTAATGCGATATCAATTTCATATATTGTAATTCACTTTCTTTTTTCTTTTTTTTTTTCTTTTATAAAAACTCATTAAATTATAACTATAATCAATTCATATGAATTTCAATATGTGAATCGAATATAATATGGTACTTTTAAAATATGCATTGTTATGACATTTTAAAAATGAGCATAACATGAGTACCAATTGAGCATATGTAACTTACAAAATGAGCATATATATGAAAATCATGAGGTTTGCTAGTTGGACGTCACGATATTTTCATTAAGCATCAAACCTCCTATATTGAGATAAAAATAACGCTTTTTGTTAAATGAGCATTAATGAACTTTTAATTAGCATATGTAACTTACAAAATAAGCATTAATATGAAAATAATAAGCTTTGTTAGTTGAGCATGAAGACATTTTTTCATTGGGCATCAAACCTCCTCTATTGAGTATTAGAAACGTGCAATTGAGTACCGATTGAGGATTCATAAATTATAAAATGAGCATTAGTATGACAATCATAAGTTTTTTTAGTTGAGTTGAGTGATGCTTTCACAAGAATCAAATGACATGGTGAATACTTATGAAGACGATGCTGAGTATTTAACCAATACCAGATGAGCATTCATAACTTACAAAATGAGCATCAAAAAAATTCAAAAGTTCAATTGAAATCTCTAATGTGTTCAAATATTCATTTGTGTATATTCATTTATCAATGCACATTTAAATTAAATAATATATTCATAATTATTTAGAAGATTGGAGCTTTTAATAGAAGAGTGAGAAAAGTATATGTTTTTATTGAATTGCTATTCAATATGAATTTTTGAAAGAATTGCATGAAAAAAATATTGTAGAAAAATTACATAAAAATAAAAAAGTAAGAGTTCAAAATTAGAGAACCGGAAGACAAAAGTATATACAAAAAGAAAAAAGAAACAAATGAAGCAGAAAAAAGAAAAAGAAATGTTAAAGTTAGAAAAAATAAAGTTCAAAATTAAAGGAAAAGAAAAAAGAAAAACCAAAGCATGAAAAAGAAAATAAAAACTTAAACATAGAAAACTTAAAGTTCAAAATTAAAAGATAAGAAAACAGAAAAACGAGAACTATAAAAAGGTAAAAAGGAAAAACGAGAAGGAGCAACCAAATGATAAGTGGATAAGGAAAAAGTGTAAATTACTCGTAACTATTAAGAAAAGGAAAAAGAACAAACGGAAGAGCAGCGACAAGGAAGAGTAGCAAATGCCATGCTCCGTAATTAACCACCTCAAGTTTATAAGTAATTACAAAAATACCTGGATGTACCAAATCACACGGTACATCCGGGTGTATGATATATTTTGCCTAAACTAATAACCATCATGTGCATTTTAAATATAAAAATACACTTTTATCATATGTATTAAACTACACGAACCAGTTTAGCAAAAATGTTTTTCTCTTCTATTGAAAGTGCCGAAGGTTTACATATATACAACTCCAATACAACAAAATCTCCTATAAAGAAGGAAAGTAATAAAATAGAATACAGCGTGCAAGAATTACAGTGTGCAACAATATGCATATTTATAAAAATACACAAATATAAAAATACACTTTTATAACAATATCTTAACATACCTTGAAAAATTTTATGTCGGCACTTATATAACAAAATGCACTTTTATCATATGCATTTTAAATGAAATAAAAATGCATTATTATATCACACTTTTCAAAATAATGCCCTGGTTTTTAGAGGCGGAATGCACTTTTTATTTCAAAAGCATGACAATTGTTTGTTTGTGATGGTGTCTTTTGGTGTCAATTATATATGTTAAAACAGTTAAATAAAAATAATGAAAATGCAGGAAAAATATATGATATGTGCACTTTTCAAAATAATGCCCTGGTTTTTAGAGGCGGAATGCACTTTTTATTTCAAAAGCATGACAATTGTTTGTTTGTGATGGTGTCTTTTGGTGTCAATTATATATGTTAAAACAGTTAAATAAAAATAATGAAAATGCAGGGAAAATATATGATATGTGCATCAAAGTAATATAATTATGTTGTGCACTTTTTATTAAATAGTAAATGATCTCTTATCCTAGGGTGTAGGGCTGAGCACGGGTCGGGTTCGGGCGGGTCGGGTCTGCGTACCCTAAACCCGTTCGGGTTTTTTAAGTTAAATACTAGGCCCGACCCTTTGATATTTCAAATCGGGTTTTTCGGATATTTGTAAATCGGATATTATCGGATATCGGATCGGGTTTCGGATATTTCGGTTATATTAAAAAAAATGGATAATTAAAGTGTTTGAATGCCACTTTGACAAAAATTCTACAAGCTAATGCACTAAACATTCAAATTACGCAATTAATTTAATACAAATTGCATAAATAATTACACAAATAATTGAACACAAGTATTAATTTAACATATTCAAAGTACACACTACATAATTTAATATATTTCGAATATTTCGGTTATATTAAAACACATTATAATTAGATAATTAAAGTGTTGGAATGTCACTTTGACAAAAAATGTACACACTAGTGCACCACACATTCAAATTACAAAAATAATTTAACACAAATTGCATAAATAATTACACAAATAATTGAACACAAGTATTAATTTAACATATTCAAAGTACACACTAAATTATTTAATATATTTCGGATATTCGGGCGGGTCGGGTTGGGATTTTACAAACCCTACCCGCCACCCGATCTAGGCCCAATACTAATCGCATTTTCGGTTTCGGGTTTTTCGGGTCGGATATCCATTTCGGTTCGGATAATATCCGAAAAAAACTTCGGATTTTGCGGGTCGGTTCGGGTTTTGCTCAGCCCTACTAGGGTGTGCACTTTTTAGTTCAATTAGATCACTAATGAGAGTGATCTTAAGAGAGATATTAGAATGATATGAACCGTTGAATTGTATTATATGGAGTTGAATGTGCTTTAGGTGAGTTGAATGTGCAACAGCTTCTGCTTTTAAAAAAGTGCTTTTTTTAATGAAATGGGGAGAAGTGATTAAATAAAAGTTGATAGTGTTTGAGAAAAAAGTGATTTTGAAAAGTAAAAGTGGGTAGTGTTTGGTAAAATAAGTGCTTTTTGTGTAATAGAAAAAGTAAAAGCACTTTTGACGCGGAAGCCGAGAAAAACAAAAGTTGTAGTGTTTGGGAAAATAAGTGCTTTTTTAAAGCCAAAAGCTGAGAAGTGCTTTTTTAGAAGCAGTTGCAAACCAACCCATGTGCAGTACAAAGGGTGCAACACAGCCATTACGTGGATTTGAATTGTGCATTAGATGAAACGGAAATGTGTACAATAAAAAGTACGATGCGGTGACATTTTTGTACTTTTTGTTCTGCATATTTCAATTTTACTTAATTCACATTTGAGTTTTACCTTCTTTCTGCATATTTCAGTTCCACAGTCCTGGACTCGGGCCGGGTCCGGGTCGGGCCTCGGCCTGAGCAGGCCAGCGGTTCAGAATAGGTGGACCCGGGTCCGGCCTGGGTAGCCACCGGGTCCGAGCCGGGCCTCGGGCCCATTACAATTCCCCCCCCCCCCTTTTCTAGTTACCCCCCCGACCCCCACCCCCAACCCCCCAAACCACCTCAAATGGCCCAAAATACCCAGCCCAACCCGGGGATTGAAAAAAAAAAAGCCCAGACCGGCCGGGCCAGTTCCTGTTTTGGGTGACCCGAGCCCGGACCGGAAACCCCTCGGGTCGGGCCTACCCGGACCGGTCACTGACGACCCACCAGTTCGGGCCGGGCCGGAATAGTGCCGGTCCCGAGCTGGTTTCAGGTCGGGCCACCCGGCCCGAGTCTAGGACTAGTTCCACAGAATGCACATTTCAATTTCATCAAATGCACAATTCATTTTTACAGAAAACAATCTAGCAGTCCGAATCTAGCGGTCTCAGTTCATTCTCATTTTTTCTTGGGAATCCTTTCTCACCGGAACCGCTCGTTGTGTGAGGGTAATATTGAAATAAACAATTAATTTGGAGAAAGGATGTTTATATGTAAATAGCATAATTCAATTTTATTTTGCTATATAGTGGATTTATGAATATCAATGTCACATTATCCTAATCATTTTAAAATGGACTTTCCATCTAAAATTACTGCACAAAGTAATTATTCGCTCATAGCTACGAATTTCATGATCCACATTTTTAAAGAATTGGTGCAATGTTTTGTAACATAAATATCTCCTAAGAGTGTCAGCATATCGTTTTGACATATGTTCCCTTTAATAATAATAATTATAATACATATAGTATATTCCTTTAAAATACTCCACTTATGATCCATAATTAATAGGTTTCCATTAATTATTATCATGCTTCATTTGTAGTCATCCGTTTGATTGAATCAAAGGTTAAATTTTATTTTAATTTCTCCCTTGGGTCACGGTTCTTATTGGAACCGCACTCTATATATTTGTTTTTATTTTGGTTATACATGAAAGTACACAAATACATATAAAAAATTATAGTACTTAAATATACTTACAAACTATAGATCACTGCGAACTCATACATTCGGTAAACGCTGGTGACAGTGTCTAACAATTGCTCCAAATCCGCACCGGTGGGATCAGACCTCTGAAAATTAAGGTATACAACTAAGTTAATATTATTATTATAAATAAATAAATAATATGTGGTATGAAAAATGTATGAAAAACCAAGCATGGGCCAGGTGGTTCGATGACATGACTCTACAGAAAAGGTCAAAAGTCAAAATTTACCGCAGTTAAAAAATCTATCTATATACAAACAGCCGTGGAATGTCATGCCAAATTCCCGCCCAATTACCTGGGTCACATTCCGGGTCAGCCGTATGTATGGGTCAAGAGGTGAGCTAATTCACATATAATGATAGTTGATTTGATGGGTTCAGAGCAGTGGCGGAACTAGAAAAAAAAATAAGCAGGGGCACAATCACATAATGTAAATCATCACATTAATAATAAAATTGTCTTAACAAATGACACTAATAAAAACATACCAAATTTAATCAAAAGGGTTAACGTAATGGTGCTAAATCCAACCTACGGGACCTCATGTTTTGAAAATGTTGGATAATAACCTCATTATCGATGCGTCTAAACACATCTCTTTCTACGTAGCAGACTATACTTTATTAAACTATTGTAAATTTTTATTTTAATACAAATAATAATTAAACGTATAATCATTACATTTAATTCAAACTAGTTAACACTACATATTTTTCAAATCACAATTATGAATTTAAAAAATTCTATAATGTAATAGCAAAATTTTAATTTAAATAAAAGGGGAAAACATAGAATGATAGAAGAAACGAAAACCAACCGGGCAACTGGGCAAGTCGCAGGGCCGCAGGCGGACGACGGAGGGCCAAGGGGGTAAGGCGGGATGGGTCTGGAAGACGGTAGCGCGGCTTTCAACGAGCTGGAGGTCCGGTGTGGTGGACTGGCGGCGTCCGGCGTGGCTCCCTGCTCGGCTGCTCCGGTACTGCTTTGCTGGTTGGCGGTTCCGCGGTTGCGTGTTGCTGCTTGCGCAAGGGACAGGGGCGGAAGTCGGAATACCTTGCTCAGCGGAAGTGAGTGAGTGCTGTTTTTTTTATTTAATGCTACCAATTGTCATGTCAAAAGGGACTATAAACGTGGGTGATAGGTTGGGTTGGGTAGGTTAGGTATTCAATGGTGATTTTGAAATGGGTTGTTGGGTCATATTTTGTTGGGTTGGGGTCCAATTGAGCTATCTCATTGATCTTCGCCATGCCCAATTAAGCTATTAAGATTTTTATTTTTATTTGCTTTAATAATAAGTTTCCATATTTTGTTGATGTTTTATCACGTTTTATCAATCATTCATTTTATTGATGAATGTTTTAATTAATTAGCTAAATATTAAGTGTTTATTACTTATTTACTTATAATAATGAAGCTAATATTTTATATTGTGCTTCAGTGTAACAATTGTGTGTGTATCAAAAATAAAATTCAAGTTTTAAATTTAAAAAAATCAATTTGTGTATTGTTCTATTATTCTACAAAAAATCTTGACTACAGGGTTGAAATTGGGTTCAGCTCTTCAAAATGCATGACACCGACTTGAGACGAAGGAATTAGTATTATTTTAACTCACAAGACAAATGCTTTAATATCTCTTTAACAATAAACACTTATCAAATTACTTGCCACTTCATTCTAAATTCAATTTATTATGCCTCTCTATAATAGAGTTCTTAATCAAACATTGGTAAATTTTCATCCGTGCATCGCACGGGAGAATCTAGTATTGAACAAAGAATGGATATTATAATTAATACGGAGTATGTCTCGGTAAAACTTTGGATTTACCTTTCGATGTGTCCAACAGTTGCGGTAGAATCGCAACAACTCAGCGGCGGTTGGTTTGTAAAGTTTGGCATAGTTGTAGGTTTTCTGAAAAATCGGTGGGCCCCTTTTTGCAATTTTTGTCCAATCTGGATCAATTGGGTAGTCTTTTCAAGAATCCTCGATGATGGTGGTTTTGAGTTCTAACATGGTGTAATCCTCCTAAGGTGAACACATATTGGATAAATATGAACAAAATATTTAATGTTCAGTACTACTTTTGAAGGTCAAGATTATAGTCAAAACTAGCTTGTTCCAAAAAGGATAAAATAAGGCTAAAGAGTCAAATAAGCCCTTGAACTAACTTAAAAAGTGCAATTCACGCCTTATATATAAGACTCTTTCCGGCCGTCGTCAATTGGTTCGCTTCCCGGTGAAATTTTTTTATGAAAATTTTTAGCATCTTCTTCATCAAGTCTAGTTTATGCATACCAAATTTTAGATAAAAACTCAACCAGGAAGACAGTCAAATGACTTTCTGAAATGTATTGTGTTGTTTAACTGCGCAGTTATCTTTAAAAAATCATTTGACTGCCTTCTCAATTGAAATTTTAGCTGAAATTTGATATGAGTAAATTAGACTTAATGAAAAAGATGTTCAAAAATTTTCATAAAAAAATTCAACCGGGAACCGCCTCAATTGACGACGACCGAACAGAGCCTTTTATATAAGCTTATAAGGGGTGAGTTGCACTTTTTAAATTAGTTTGAGGACCTATTTGACCTTTTAGCCTAAAAATAAACATCTAATGTGTATTAGAATGGCCTGAAATAAAAATCTCGAGTTAAATAAAATCACAACATCAACAAAAGATTTAACATTTAAAAAATACAAAATATGCCTAAAAACGTACATAGGAACTTTGTGAATTAGTGCACAACTACAAAGTCCAGCAAGTTCAAGCCAATGCACTCTAATAAAAAATCTCATTTAAAGAAAGTAAGCATACAAAATGAGCTTTCAAAATATCATGCAGCAACATACAACATCTTTTGCCTCATAAAATTTATTCGCAGAGTCAACAGCACTTTTCATAAATTAGATTCAGAATCGGTAGAAAGAGCATAAAAAATAGTATAAAATAATTATACATTTCTTTCTTCAATAACCATGAACAACATTTTGGAAATCAATGAACTATCAATATTAGTAAATATGTAGTACTATTTTTAACCCGGTGGGGAAACCACTAAGTCTTTAGGATAAATCACCCCAAAACATTTACCAGGATCATTAGAAGGAAATAACCAGGAGGGCCAGGCCAATCCCTTTAGGGTTGAGTCGGAGAAATCGAAACAAAACCCGAACTGCAATCTAGTTTGAGATTGAAAACAGTACAAAAGAAAACATCCTAAATCTACACGTCTTAAAAAGAGGAAGTTGGCTTTATTTTTCTTTTAATTTTGACTGTTTTATTCATACATTGTTGATTTATTTTCTTCTAGTTCTTAATATGAAGATTAATTAATAATTAATTAATACTTAAAAGAGAAAGTTGACTTTATTTTACTTTTATTTTTGACTTTTTTATTCATGTACATTGTTGATTTACTTTCTTATAGTTCTCAATATAGAGATTAATTAATAATTAATAGATGCCTACGCTTCTCAAGCAGCCGAGAGTAAACGGCTGGATGCCTGGATTGTTAATTGCTCACTCCTAGAATTATACATAGACATACAGTTGCAATAATCTATCTTTGTAAACAAGCAATTGGTTCATTTTGAAACAGTAAAACAACTCCGTTGTAAATATAGTATCCAAAATAATAACAAATCCTATTATCTTCGTCCCATTTTACGGGACACAATTTTTAATAAAAGTGTTGAAAAAGTAAAAGTTATGGTTAAAATTTAGGTATAGTAAAGTGAAATTTTGTGAAGCACATTTTTCTTGAGGTTTTTCCCTAAGGAGGTGGAGTTTCGAAACTTATTTCCCAAATCAGGACATTTTTTTGCCATGTCATCTAATTATCACTATGGTTGCCACATCAGCCTATCCACGTCACTCAAACATTTTCGTGTCATTCAATTTTAAGGGCAAGTGCAGCTCTTAATGTATTCAAAAAGAAAATGGGCAGCAAGTTTCAAACTTGGGTGGGAGGAGAACCGGCGTATTTCTCTCATTCCTTTACCCATTAGGCAACATCATTCACACGTTCTTGGTGACTTTTTAGTTTAAATCTATTTGCTGAAAGGTGGGAGCCTCCCAAACAATTTGAAATATAATTAAAAACTTTTTTTTGAAAGGAAATGTAATAAAATACTTAATTTAAGAAATCCGATTAAAACCTAAATATAAAAAAATTAAAATAAAAAATATAAAAAAGTTAGTTTGTGATATTTAATTAAAAAAATTAAAATGTCATTAAACTTATATAAAAAACATAATTTGAAATTTGAAATTAATTTTTTTTTTAAATAACTCAAAAATAAATAAGTAAAAAATATATAAGTAACTTTAATTCTAGTCCCCAGACCATCCTAATTTAAAAAAACTATATGTTTTTATTGTAAAATATAATATACTCCCTCTCTCATGAGATTTTGTTATTATAAAATTTAATTAGGTCTTTATTTTTTTAATTATCTCAATTTTATTATTTTAATTAATTTTTAAAATTTACTACTCCGTAGAAAGGATTTTATTTAGAAAAAAGTTATTACCACCAAAGTATATGATATTTTACATTAAAAATATATAAAAATTTTATAGTTGGGATGGGTTAGGGACTAGAATTAAATTTACTTATTTAATTTACTATTTACGAGTTAATTCAATATTTTTAATTACATATTGCAAATTATGGTTTTTATATAAGTTCAATTACATTTAAATTTTTTAATTAAATATCACAAATTAAGTTTTACATTATAATTTGTATTTCATTTTTAATTTAATTTCTCTAATAAAGTTTTTAATTAGAATTTATCTAATTCTAGTGCAAATTATGTTTTTAATTATGTTTTTTATTAGCGTTAAAAAATTATGTCTTTTATTATATAAACATTCTATTTAAATACTAGAAAAAGTGATTATAGGGAAGTGAAAGGTGTAGCCCAGGTTCGAATCCTGGGTGTACAAAACTTTCACAAGTGTTACCAAAAAAATTACCATGTAAAAATTACCAGAAAAATTATCATGTACAAATTTACAACACTTTTTCCACAAGTGTTACCATGTACGTAGTACTTGTAATATTTATTCCTATATGGAATTAAGTGGTGGTTGAAAAATTATGTTAAGTTATACACTTACACAACGTAATTACATTAAAAATTATGTTAAGTCATAAACTTACCTAGAAATTTCATTTAGAAGAAGACTGACGATGCTAGTCAGTCCGGGGTGGTATGAACTTTCATTGTGAATAAACTTGTCGTAGAGCATTCGCCGCCCAAGGTCTTGAAAATCTTTGTCTATTTCAATTTTGGGACCAATTGGAGCAACAATTCCAGTTAGTTTTATACGCCCTCCCCATACAACAATATTGTTTGGATCATTTAGATTTCCATGACCACCACCAAGACGTTTTTGTAAACAGTTTACAGCTTCCAGTAATTCCCTCAAAAAAGTAAAGAAGTATTCAAATTTTGTAAATTGTAAATTTTACAAAATTATAAAATTAAAATATGACTTAATTACCTTATTTGGTTCTTTGAAAAATCAATAGCATCCATGAAAGTTGTAGAATATGGATCATAGAAAAAATATGAGTAGGTGGGGGATACAAAGGAAAGTAAGGGACACAAAATAAAAGGAAGACTGGATAATCTCTGAGAGAAGTCAAATGATTGTTTCATTGCAATTGACTTCGAAGTCACCACTTTCATCAACACGGTCTTCCCAAAAGCTTCAGTTAGGCAAAAGTGGATCTGAACTTCATGTGTGCCTCGGATAAAGCTTTATTTCTTTATCCCTATAGGTTTCTCCAAGCTCTCTGGTAGTAGTGGTGGTGGTGTAGTAGACATTTTCTGTGAGAAGAGAAAGTGAGCGGTTTGTTGAACAGTAACCTAAGAAAATGCTCTCATACACCCCGTGTGTGAGCAGTTGTACAGTAAAATAAAATAAGTAAATGCTGAGCAGTTGAACACTAACCCCAATAAAATAAGTAAATGCTGAGCAAATGTACACCCGTGAATGCTGAACTCCATAAGTAGTTTTTTTTTTTGAAAGAGAACTCCATAAGTAGTTGAGAGTAGTAAATACGGAGTACTTGAAAAGTACACCATGTGA